AGTTGGGTCATGCTGGTGAAAAAATTTAACTGTAATTTTCTCGGAGTGAGGAATCTCCCATGGAGTGCCTTTAAGTATTCCATGGGAGATACTGCTGTCCAGGAAAATTACAGTTGAATTAAATCACAGTTCTTTGATAGCCAGTCCAAAGCTCCCTGATGCATCATGCACACAATGTATATCTCTCAGTAATAAACATTTTATTTTATGGTATTTTTTCCAGGTTTACCTGTAGGTCCCAAGTCTTGTAATAGGTTTGTAGAAGGTGTACACACCTCTGGAGATCTTTATTTTTTTCTATATTTTTCTATATATTTTTCTCCATGGGGGTGAAGTCATCAATCTATAGCAGGCATTTTATTTCTCCATCATTAGTGGGAGATTAGATTCAGGTCTGTAATAATACAAGTTCTTTCTGTTTATAAAAAGTGGTCCATAATTAATTTATTTATTATTTCTTTTTGTTTTCATAGAATTATAGAAAACTGGGGTTTGAAGAGACCTCAGGAGGTCACCTAATCCAATCCCCTGCACAAAGCAGGACCAACCCCAACTAAATAATTCCATCCAGGACTTTGTCAAGCATGTTCTTGAAAACCTCTAAGGATCACGATTCAACCACCTCCTTAGGCAACTAATTTCAGTGTTTTACCACCTTCCTAGGGAAGTAGTTTTTTTCCTAACACGTCTCCCACTGCAACTAAAACTATGGCTTCTTGAAACCATTGCTTCTTGTTTTGTCATCTGCCACCACTGAGACTAGCCCGGCTCTATCCTCTTTGGAACCTCCTTCAGATAGTTGAAGGCTGCTATCAAATCTCCCCTCATTCTTCTCTTCTGAAGACTAAACAAGTCCCGTTCCCTCAGCCTCTCCTCATAAGTTATGTGTTCCAGCCCCTTAATTATTTTTGTTGCCCTCCAGTGGTCTCTCTGAAATTTGCCCTCATCATTTCTGTAGTAGGAGGCCCAAACTGGACCAGTATTCCACATGTGGTCTCACCAGTGCTGAATCGAAGGGAATAACTATTTCCCTTGATCTGCTGGCAATGCTTCTACTAATGCCCGTCACCAATCTGTAGTGGCACCTTGCATTCCTCCATCCAAAGTGTAGGATTCTGCTCTTGTTCTTGTTGACACTTATCATATTTCTTTTGGCCCAATCCTCCAATTTGTCTGTATCACTCTAGACCTTATCTCTATCCTCCAGCATGTCTGCCTTTCCCACAGCTTAGTGTCATCTGCAGACTTGCTGAGGCTGCAATCTGTCCTCTCATCCAGATGATTAATTAAGATGTTGAAAAAAAATGACGCAACTCTAGGGCACTTTACTTGATACTGGCTGCAAACTAGATATTGAGTCATTGATGATTATCCATTGGGCCCCATGATCTAGTTAACTTTCTATCCATTCATCCAAGCCATATTTCTTTAACTTGCTGGCAAGAATATTGTGAGAGAATGTATCAGAAACTTTGCTAAAGGTAAGGTATATCACAGCCACTGCTTTCCCAATATCCAAAGAACCAGTTATCTCATCATAGAAGGCAACATCAGCCAATTCTCTCAGCACCCTCAGATGTATTCTCTAGCCCCATGGACTCATGCACATACAGTTTTTCTAAATAGTCCCTTATCTGTTCTTTCACTACTGGGGATTCCTTACCTCCATCCCTTACCATGCTGCCCAGTGCAGCAATTTGGAAGCTTACCTTGTCTCTGAAGACAGAGGCAAAAAATATTGAGTTCTTCAACTTTCCACATTATCTGTCACTTTCCCATTCAGTAAGAGTTCCACACTTTCCCGGACTACCTTCTTGTTGCTCACATAACTGTAGAAAACCTTCTTGTTATCTTTTACAACATTTGCTTGCTGCTTTGGCCTTCCTAATTACACCTCTGCATGCTCGAGCAACGTTTGTATATTTCTGCCTAGTCATTTGCAGAGCTTAACTTGAAATAAGCTACGCAAATTGAGCTTATTTCAAAATAGGGAGCATCTACACAGCACTTATTTTGAAATAGAGCACTCTTCCTCCGACTTCCCTTACTCCTCGTACAATGAGGGTTACAGGAGTAGGAGTAAGAAGTCCTCCAGCTTAACAGTATTTTGGCACTATTTTGAAATAACTGCCTGCTGGGTAGACACGGACTAAGTTATTTTGGAATAGCGCTAGTTAGTTTGAAATAGAGTTGCAGTAGATGTACCCTGAGTTTCCACTTCTTGTAAGCTTCCATTTTGTGTTTAAGTTCATTAAAGATTACTATCATAAGCCAATTAGGTCTCCCACTATATTTTCTATGCTTTCTTCAGATTGGTTTGTTCCTGCACCCTCAGTAAGACTTCTTGAAAGTACAAGCAGCATTTCGGGCTCCCTTCCCCTCATATTAGTCTCTCATCCCGGGAGATCCTGCACATCAATTTCCTAAGAGAGTCAAAGTCTTATTTTTTGAAGTCTAGGATCCGTATTCTGCTGCTCAACTTTCTCCTTTTTGACAGGATCCTGAACTCAGTCATCTCCTGGTCACTGCAGCTCAGCTTGCTACCTACTTCTACTTGCCTTACCAATTCTTTCCTGCTTGTGAGCAGCAGGTTAAGAGGAGCATGACCTCTAGTTTTTTTCCTCCAGCACCTACACCATGAAGTTGTCCCCTGAACTCTGCAAAAACTTCTTTTAATTGTCCAAAGAAAGCCTTGTCTACCTGAACCTCCTACTCTGGTGATCTATAGCAAACACACAACACAACATCACTCTTCTCACTTTCACCTCTAATCTTAAGCCATAGACTCTCAACAGGCATGTCTCCAGTTTTATAGTGGAGATCTGAGCAATCATACTGCTCTCTTACATACTGTGCAAGTCCTCCAACTTTCCCTCTTCTTCACCCCGCTTCACCTCCGTCCTTCCTGAAGAGTTTATTTTGATCCATGACAGTATTCCAGTCGTGTGAATTGGCCTATCAAGTCTGTTTTCCTATACTTCCAATTCTTCCTAGTTGTTTTCCAGACTTCTTGTGTTCATGTACAAGCACCTAAGGTAACTGGATAATATAACAACTCAACATAAATTATAAAGAGGCTATAACTGCATTTGTTAGTGGCCTTGTCTGCACAGTAAAGAGAGACTAGTTCCCCTATTCTCCTGAAGATGCCATGTGACTTGCTCAGACATACTTGCTGTAACCTACTGAAAGATTGTTGGAGTAATTTATTGAGTCATAGATAAGATTTGACAAGCTGTTTATCATGGAAGTGGAACCAACAAGTCTCATTTTAGCAGTTCTAATGTATCGCCTCTGCTTTTTTTTCTTCACTGATATTTTTCTTACTATTTGATCCTAAAGTCCAAGGCAAATGCAGTCAGTATAAAATAAATTGTGTGAAATGACGTGCAAGCACAATTGTTAGGTGCCAAAGCCGATGATCACAGAGCTATCATGCAAGAGTTATTTTTAGCGTAGACTTCTTACTTCATTGGTATCTTTTACTGATTGAGATGTCTGCACATACACACACACACACACACACACACACACACACACACACACATCATTGTTCTCTGTTTAACTCTCTAGTTTAGACTGGTAAGAGTACAAGTCATCTGTGGTTACCAAACTGCATGCTCCAGACACCTATGCAGTTTCTTCTTAGAATTCAGTAAGGAAGGCACAATAAACTTACCTTACCATGCTTGAGTTTTATGAACAAATCGGGGAAGTAACGGAGTGTTTCCATAACAACAGTAAGTACCAGTGTTCCCTATAAGATGTGTGCTTGTGGGCCTCTCGGAGGAGATTAAAATGTCATCCAGTAGATTAGCACCCACAGCTAGGTTTCTTTTCTACTGGTGCTGCACATTTACCTATGCCCAAGTGCAAGTAAAAATGTAATCCACACATGGATGGAAACAATTTGCGCACAGATGGAAAAGATTAAAGGGAGCATTGGTAAGTACCCTGTAAAATTTAGACATAGAAAAAAAGCTATTCACTTTAGATCAATTCATGGGTCTGTTGTTTTGGGATATGACTATCCAAGTTTTAGGTGGAATTTAGAAAGGATCATTAATAACTAAAAATCTTAATCTCAGAGAGGTAGTTCTGTTAGTATGTAACAAAAAAAAAACCTTTAAAAACAATGAAATGTCCTGTAGCACCTTGGAGACTAAAAAAATAAATAAATAGATAATGCCATGAGCTTTCATGGGCACAATACACTTCTTCAGATGAATCATAGAATTATAGGACTGGAAGGGACCTCGAGAGGTCATCGAGTCCAGCCCCCCACCCTCAAGGCAGGACCAAGCTCCATCTACACCATCCCTGACAGATGTCTATCTAGCCTATTCTTAAATATCTCCAGAGAGGGAGATTCCACCACCTCCCTTGGCAATTTATTCCAATATTTGACCACCCTGACAGTTTGGACATTAGGAAAAAATTCCTATCTAAACCTCCCTTGCTGCACTTTAAGCCCATTACTCCTTGTCCTGTCCTCAGTAACCAAGAGGAACAAATTTTCTCCTTCCTCCTTGTGACACCCTTTTAGATATTTGAAAACTGCTATCATGTCCCCCCTTAATCTTCTTTTTTCCAAACTAAACAAGCCCAGTTCATGAAGCCTGGCTTCATAGGTCATGTTCTCTAAACCTTTAGTCATTCTTGTTGCTCTTCTCTGTACCCTTTCCAATGAAGAAAATGAAGAAGTGAGTTGTGCCCACCAAAGCTCATGATACTATCTATATTGTTTGTTAGTTTCTAAGGTGCTACAGGACCATTTGTTCTTTAAGTTTTTATAAATCCTCATGTCCTTTAGATGCAAATGCAGAAATCAGCTGAATCATTTATGAAGATTGTAAAGACATGATTGTGTTGCCCATTCTTCAAGCAGTTAAGAGAATTTGAGACTAGAGATGTACATAATAGTTAAATGGATTGTAAAATCCTTTGGTTTTAAAAGTATTATTTAATCAGTAAATTACCTCACCCAATTTGTTTTTCAGGTCCTCCTGGTCCCCCTGGGGGTTTGAGAATAGAAGATATTAAAGATACCTCTGTAACACTTACTTGGAGTCGTGGAACAGACAATCATAGCCCTATTTCAAAGTATACTATCCAGTCAAAGACTTTTCTTTCTGAGGAGTGGAAAGATGCCAAAACAGGTAAGGGCAATATTAGAAATTTAAAAAAAAATTAATAGATTAACATTTGACTCATTTCACAAAAACTTATTCATGCTCTTAATTTTATACATTCCTTTCTGGAAAACTAATAATGTGTGAAGCCAAATATATAAGCCTTTTCAGGATCATGGCCTTATTTTGTAGAAAATAGTTCATGCCAGAATATATTTTTTCAGCAGATCTGATTACTGTATCTTAAACTCGTCTAATTTCTCGCAATTAATATGAGCCAATCACATGCACAGATTCTGTCCCACAAGTAAGTAGTGCAGATTTTCAACCATGAAAATATTTATCTCCCACTTAGCATGTTTAGCTTTGAATAATTTATCTTGTGTAATATTGCCATATGGTCTATAGAATTGCCATTTTATTCCTTTTGTTACGCCTAATCACACTCCTTTAATAAAATGGAACTTCTAAAATCCTTATTCTTGAGAATTAGATCATCACAGATTAATCTTTTTTTTGTCATGTATAGTACAGATGCCCTAGAAACATTCCCAGTTTTATTGATCCCTAAATCCCATTAAGATCCTGCAACAGTTGCACATGCACTGATCAGGCCTATTCTGGAATGCAGAGTAATATTTATTATTATTCATTATTTTAATAATACATATTAGTATATAAGTCTTGCCTTGCCATTCCCCAACATTGACTCCCCTCCCAGCTAGGGAGATCCCTCAGCCTCCTCCAAACCAAGGTGCTAATTCCTAGTCAGACTTTATGTGCCATTCTTGGACAGTTGATAGAGCTCTCCATCTATGCCTGGCTACCCCTTTTGCATTTACTCAACTTCATATTCAACTTTCAGAACTATGAGTGAAATTATGAACTTCAGAAACATTTTATTGTGACGTAGCATAGTTGCTTTCTTGTTCTATAGGAGAAATGTCTAGATGTCACAAGGTCCAGTATGTAATTATTGAAGCTACTTACACCATTTGTCCACTTGTAATTGTTATTTTTTATCTTGTAAATGTTTATCCCAGGTAATTTCATGGATTTAATTTTCTCACTATGCCAGAACTCCTGGTAAGTCAGGATTTCTCTTTTGTTTAACTCAGTGTTCATCTAGGTGGCTTATTACAAACAGAGAGAAGGGGGAACTACAGAAACTGCAACCAGTTTATTCTTTCAGCGCACTGCAAAGTGCCACTTTCTGAATTGTCTCTTGTTTCATTTAGATCCCCCAAACATTGAAGGAAATATGGAGACCGCAAAGGTAATTGATTTAATCCCATGGATGGAGTATGAGTTCCGGATAATAGCAACAAATACTTTGGGGACAGGAGAACCTAGTATGCCATCACAAAGAATTAGAACAGAAGGAGCAGGTATGTAGACACAAATTGTTGAGATATTAAAATGTGTAAATGTTCTTCTTTATTTTTTTTTAATATTTTCATTAATTTTGAAAGAGGCAGAGTGCAAAAAAGCATTGAAGTCCAAATGGAATGGTGTAACCAGTCATAAATGACTCTCATGAATAATTATCAGATAGTCTAGCATGCTAACCAAAAATTAGGCAACAAAATGAGCAGTCTTGGTACCAAATGATAAATTTACACTGTCTGTAGTGAATGCTGTTTTTAATAGCTCACTGCCACAGCTAGCCGTGATCTCAGAGTCTGGATAAGACTATATGGTCTTTCATGTCCATCAGACTAATAAATCTCTCACTTTGGCAGCTTATCCCATTTAATAGCATGTTTGTTTTAGGGACATGCCTCCTAGAATGAGTTTATCCACAGACACAGATCAGGTTATTGAGTTCATTTTATCATGTCCACCATTGAGCTGGCTTCAGCGCACAAGAGCATTTCCCACCTGTTCAGGTTGCTCCCCTAAAGTGGCTCAGTCCTATGTTCCCATCAACTCAGTCAGTGCAACTTCTGTTGTCTTCAGCCTGTTGCTTCTCTTCCTATTTATGGCAGAACTCTTGTTACTGCAGCCTATCTGTTGTCCTTTAGGCTGCAACCAGTCACAGACCTTCTGAAGCTGGTATGACTACTTGTTCCAGTAGCATTGCTTATAAATCATATCATCCCCCCAGTTTGAACTGCCGGCCCAGGGTTTTATGCCCCTACATCTAGTTCAATGTAATATCAGTTATATTCAGACTACAGGTTGAACCTTCTATTCCAGCACCTTCAGGACCTTACTGGTGCTGAATAAGATAATTTGCTGAACCACAGGAGGTCAATATTGTCTAGCAGCATTATAACACTTCCACTGCTTACTGGGCTCTTAAAAACATTTAGGGGTAAATTAGAGCTAAATAACAAAACAGAACACTGAAAGCCAGGACTAGAAGTTGTAAACAAACTTTATGGAACCAGAGGAAACTTGTCCACACCTGTATAAGTAAATCATGCAGGACTATGGATGTTGCTGGACCAGAGTGTGCCAGTTTAGAGAGGTTCAACCTGTACTGGAATATAGATTTTCAAACATGGTCACCCTGAATCACTGAACCCCATTGGTCGGAGTCCAGTAATAAATTCAGAAATAGAGAATGTCAGGATAAAAGTCATTCCCAATTGTTATTGATGGTTAGAGGGAAAATATTGACAAGGGTGGAGGGACTATTTTAATAAATTAGCTGTTGTTCAGTAGCAGTGAGAACTACATGAACTGACTGGTATTGTAGCTCAGACATTTATATCCTCAGATGTATGTCCAAAAAATACAAACATCATATAGAATGACTTACACTTTTATTCATGTAAAGATGGTTAAATCCAAATAATAAAGAAGAGAAAAACAGCATGAGACTGCATTCATTGGCAATGTTCTCTTCTCCTGCCTTTCAGAGATCCTTTGCAGTATGTTTTAAATTAGTTAATTATTGTTTTTACAGGAAGAAAATAGACATATTTTTTCAAATCAGCAAATGTTCATTGGTTTCTTAGCATGCCATATTCTAATTGTAAGACATGCCAGGATGTGTGTTTTACTGGATAATGCCACTTCGCGATTGAAGGTTTGTTCTTATGCCTTCTAATGCTGTGTCAAGAGACATGACATTATCCAACACAGCATATGGCCCAGTGTACCTAATCGTGTAATGTAGTGATCTCAGAGCACAGTTAAGCATATCCCGTAGGCTGGGACAGGCATATCATAAAATGAATTCTCCCAAATAAAGAATTAGATGCAGAACATATCATTCAAGATAATATATTCTGTTTTGACTGTATGCAGAAGATAACAGCAGCACTTTTAGAGGTAATGTGTCACTGCAAAAAGGTCTGTATCCAATCAGACTTGTATATCGCTTTATCTGCCTTAGCAAATAGTAGCTCTGGAGGCTTCTGTTCCATTGCTGAAGATTGAAATACATATCTGTAAAATAGATAAAATGCTTTTCCACTGCAAATTTTGCTAAGAATAATAAAAAGCAGAATTACCTGTATTGTTTTAAAAATCAGATTGTTAGGGAATGCGGAAGCATTGATTTGTCAGGTTAATGGAATCAGGAAAGAAAAATCCACTGTAAAACCTAAGTGAAAGGAAAACCAAAGTGAAAACTATAAAACCAAAGTGAAAGGGAATTACTTCCAAAAAACTTGATTATTAGTGTCATATGGATTAGTAGCAATGCTTGATTCTGTGTCACATTGAGCAGCTGTTCTTTATAATCAAATCATCAAAATATACTAGAGTTTGGACAAAAGCCTTAAGGTCTAAAAAAGAAATGTGCATTTGCATCTTGCAGTGCTGGCATGCTATTTACGTTTTTGTGCTCTTCTGAAGGGAGGGTAGAAACTAGGTATGTAAAATCCTGTTTAAAATGTTAACCAATTAAACTATATGTTTAACCAGTTAATCAGCCCGCTGTGGTATGGGTGGTGCGGCACATTGGGTCAGGCCAAGCTGGAGTAGCCCCCTGCCCACAGCATGGCACAGGCAAGGGGGCTGTTCTACCCAGGCTGGGCAGGGTCCGCTGCAATGTGCCCCAGGCAGGAGGCTGCTCCTGCCTGACCCAGCTCACCACACCACAAAGCAGGTAGGGGGGGCTGCTGTGTCCTGGCCAGGCTGGAGTGCACCCCTGCCCATAGAGCGGTTACCCTGGCAAGCATGTTGGTAAGGCAATGTTTACCAGTTACCCGGTTAGCTCTTTACATCCCTAGTAGAACCCTCCCTCACATGGAGGAGAATTGCATATATATTAATAGGCTTACGCTGACTTCATGAAATGCCTCCCAGCTTAAAGAATGATATGCCCTCCCGTTTTACACCAGGCCTTTAATATCTTTGGAAGATTTAGCTGGTTGTGTTGCTTCCCATACAGAAGGGAGGACAACTAGGAGCAGTGTTTCTGCCGGTGTCAGGTTGACTGACATTTTTGGTGAATTTAAACTGATGCTATAAATGTTTTCATCAAATTATATGGGATTGATCTTGCACGCTTCTTAGAATACAAAAGGAAGTGTGTAATGCATTAAAGTGTTAATGGATAGGATCCTCTGTACTAAAGTAAATGCATTGCTTACCATGAGTTGGCACTTACTAGAGATGACTGGTTCTACCCCACCTGAATTTCCTGTCAAGAATCTCTGGCTATATGGGAGCCAGATTCTATATTTGATTTTTAGTTTAATATGTGTTTGATACCCCCCCCTCCAAAGTGTTAGATATTTTCATTGCACAGCTTGGAACCAATGCTAGTATAGTTTGATGATTTGATTATAAAGAACAGCTGCTCAATTTGACAGAAACAAACATTGCTACTAATCTGCTGTGCCATCTGAGTAATAGATAACACATCACATAAGTTGAACTGTGGTATCTGACAATTGTCAGTGGCACACACAGCAGTGAACCTTCACCCTTTCTTCCATAGGCATAAGGCTTTCATTTTAATGGCAGCTCTTAACTGCATGTTTACTGTGCATGTAATTTGAATTTAAGTTTAAACTAAAATCTGTTTATTTTGTTCAATACTACGTAAATTATAAAATGACATCTTGGAATTCTCCTATTGGAATGCTAGCTATCCATATTTTAGCTACTGGAGACTAGAATTCAATATTAAGATTCTGAAACTAATTAATGTTAGGCAAGTTGAAGGTTGGCCACTTCTCCATTTACTTAAGTTGTCACGATAGCTTTATTGGATCTAGTCATCCCTTGCTGTGCCCTTTGGGTGGCCATTTACACATGTGCTATATGAGCACAAAATGGGTGTCAGATGTTATCAGTATGACAACCACAGGACTAGGAGGGAGGGTAAAGGAGGGTCTCGGGGCAGGGTGTCTGCCGAGGAGGGAAGGTAGAGGAGGGGACTTGGGGTCTTGGCAGGAGGAGGGGAGTAAAGGGAGTTTGGGGGTGAGGTCTGGGCATGAGGGGGGACGCTTACCTGGCTTGGCATCCTGCTGCAGCAGGAAAAGCATCCAGGGAGCATGCTTTTGTTCCTGGGTTGGGGTGAGTGTGTGTGGAGAGCTCAGTTTCCCTTCTCCTTCCCCTCCCTCACCCATGCAGCGAGAAACCCAGCACAGCTGCAGCACCAGGCCCTGTTTCCCGCTGGCAGGGTGGGAGAAGGGGAGAGAGTAGAAACCACGACTGTCCCCATCAGATTAAACACTGCCACTTCCCTGCAGGCTGGGGAGGGGCACAGGGGAGAGAGAGCAGCAGTGCATGAGGGGCAGCAGAGCCTGAGAACGCTCCAGGTGGGGGGGATTGTGGCAGAGCCAGAGCTGGGTTCCCCACAGGCAGCAGTTTTAAAACGCCAAGGTCCAGGAGAGGCTCCTCAACTCCGGTCACCAATCCCCCGCCCAGCAGCAGCGGCCGCTGTAAAAGCCGCTGCCTGCACACGTGGAGGAGGAAAAGAAGGTTGCACAGGCAGCAGAGACCCTATGGGACAGGGGCCGTCCTGTGGGCTGGAGGGATGGGAGGGAGGGCAGCCACAGCGGGAGCTGTCTATGGGCTCTGCAGGGAGCGGAGGAGCAGATATTTTTCTGTTGTCTCTGCGGCACACCTCTGACTGCCTCGCAGCACACTGGTATGCTGTGGAACACAGTTTAAGAAACACTGTCCTAAAGCATATGCATTTAAGGTTGTATGGGCAACCTTAACTAACATTTCTTAATTTTAGAGCAGTGTTTCTGAAAGTGATCTATGAAACCACTTTGAGAAACCCGTTAATTGGTCGCTCCGATGTGTTTACTTACCAGTGCCACAGCCACAGAGCCTCGCAGCTCCTTTTGGCTCCATTTCACTGTTTGCAGCCAAAGGGGAGCTGTGGGAAGAGCCACCACTTCCCATGGATCCCATTGGCTGCAAACAGAGAAACAGAGCTAATAGGAGCTGCGAGGCTCCCTGGCCACAGAGCCGGTAAATAAACACACCAGAGTGGACAGTGGACCACTTTGAGAAACACAGCTTTAGAGTGCTTAACTATGCATCCTAAGTAATGAAAGACCATAGGAGGATACTCAAAAAGGGGCAGACAAGGTAACAACAAAGTTATCATTTTTAGTTTGAGAAGGTGCTGCCTCAGCATGTCGACTGCCTAGCTGTTGGAAAGTATTTTGTACTCGTCATGGCAGAGGTGAGTTTTAAGGAAGCTTCCCTACCAGGTCGGTGGGAGGAAGGAGTCTTCATACCTTAAGAACTACTTTGCTTTTATCTCAACTATATTTCATGGTTGAGAGTTGTCAGCATCACACAATTGAAAATCAGAAGGTTGCCTATAGAGGAAACAGTGGAAAATTCCTATTTTTTACCACTGTGCTGTATGGAAATTAAATTTTAATGGATTTTAGTTCAAAGTCAGTCTTCAATATCAGTCTTCAAAGTGCAGATTTCTATATGAAACATAAAAATACAATCTGTGCAATCAGAATTTTAATTTTCCTTGGATAGTGGAGCCTGAAGTCTTGATTCTTAACCCATTCATATCAATGCTAGTTTGCTATTGACTGGTGTGGGAAAAGTAAATAAAGAAAAAGTTATTTACTTCTTCACATAATACAAGAACTAGGGGTCACCAAATGAAATTAAAAGGCAACAGGTTAAAGTAAACACTAATAAGTATTTCTACACATAATGCACAGTCATTCTGTGGCACTCCCTGCCAGAGGAGGTTGTGAAGGCCAAGACTTTAACAGCATTTAAAAAATAACTAGATACATTCATAGAGGATTAGTCCTTCAATGGCTTTTATCCAAGATAGGTAGGAATGGTGTCCCTAGCCTCTGTTTGACAAGGCTAGAAATGGGCAAAAGGGGATGGATCACTTGATGATTACCTGTTCTGTTCATTCCCTCTGGGGTACCTGGCATTGGCCACTGTTGGAAGTCAGGATACTGGCCTACATCAGCATTGGGCAAGACAGCCTCCCCTGCTGCTCTCCTGTCCCCAGGCCAATCAAGACCTTCAAAACAGCTGGTGGTTCTCTCTAGGGTCTGGGAGGTGAGAGCAAAGACAATCAGGATCAGCGGACGAGGGAGCACAGGAAGCCTCTTTGCCCCACCCCTTCCACCTGAGGTCCCACCCCTTTTAGGGCAGCCCACAACCACTTCAGAAATTTGCCCCTCCCCCCCTTCAAAAATTATTGCCCACTCCTGGGCTAGAGGGAACTTTGGTCTAACACAGTATGGCTGTTCCTATGTTCTTACTTTAATGAGAACAGGACATAGGCCCCAGTTTTGCAGAGAATTACCCATGTGGTTAACTTTACACATAGTGAATGATTCATTGAAGTGAGTGAGCTGTTCACAGCATGTGAAATGAAGCATGTGTATAAATCTTTGTTGAATGGAGGCATAAGTCTCTAAAGATCACAGAATGAGCAACAGTAAGTATAATTAAATGCTTTTCTCTTCCAGTCTCAGACAGACACTCACAGTTTTTTTTTCAAATTTAATATGAACATGGACAAAATCAGGAAAAAGTTATTACAAGCTATACCTAGCTACCATAACTGGAGAGAACTGGCACTTTTCCTGTGGCAAAAGCTATATATTAATCTTGGCAAAACCACAGACTCTCACGGCTATTTCAGGCTATCATTATTGTAATTGTGTGGGCCATATAGGCCCGTTGGCACTGCTAATAAATAAAAAGTAATTAATGGTTCTTTATTGAATGGGAGTTCTGAATTCTAAGAAAAAATTGTTTATCTTTTCTTTTATTTCAGCTCCTAATGTGGCTCCTTCTGATGTTGGAGGAGGTGGTGGAAGCAATAGGGAGCTGACGATAACATGGATGGTAAGTATTAAAATGAAACTTGATTGATTATGTGCTCTGCTGAGAATGCTATGTATGATTCTCTTCCCACTGAAGCCAGTGGAAATCTTACCCTTGACTTCAGCGAGGGCAAGGTTAGAACCACAGTAAGTTTGCAGTCTTATCTTTTGAAATGTGTGCTTTTAGATAGCTATCTATTCATCTTTATAAAATATATCTTTAGGCATCTATCTGGTGCTCTTGGCACATATCACATAGATTAAAACACAGAACCAAAGTCTATTGTACTAGATTAACAGGAGTTTAAAAAGCAACATTTGAATTTTGACTTAAAGTGTAGTTTGGGTCAAGTATCATTCTAATTTTGAAGCACACAACTCAAACAGTAAGCAGGTTCACTTAAATGATTAAAAAGATACATTTCTAGACTTTTTAGTTTTGATTATGAACTCTTCTCACGTCACACATCTACCTACAACAGCAGTTGGCCACTGAGTCTTGGACACTGATTGTTGGAATAGTTTCACAGTAAACAAAGCCTTTTGTAATTTGCAGGCACAATAAGTGGTGGCTCCAAGGCAATCTCTCTTTAGAAAGTCTACTATAGAAATATGTAGTATCACTGTTTTCCTTCTGGGGACAGAGCAATTCTTTGGAAAATTCCACCCACTGGGGGAAAAAAAACAACCTTCTGGGAATACCTGGTAAATGAGAGAGAACCAATGAGCAAGAAATACAGGAAAAAAATGGAGCAAAAGAGGATAAGAAACCAAGCAAGAGGAAGATCATATGTAAACTAAAGATGGGTAGGATGGAAAAGAACACTGAGGAGTTAAGAAGAACAAAGCAGAGATGCTAAAGAGGACAAAGTATAGGAAAGACAGAGAAGTTCCATACTTAATACACGATAAAAGAAAGAAGTGTGGAAGTTTATACTTGTCTCCAGCAATCACAAGCCGCAACGTTGTATTACTTCCTTTGGGTCCTCTATTCATTTGCCAAATGTCATATAGAGAGTAGAAAACATATCCTTTGTTTCTTTAGGAATGGTTGATATGTTAGAGGTAGCTCATACTGTATGTATGTACCTTTGCTTAAAATGCTTTCTCTATTATTAATCAGTACATAAATCCTGCAGAATCTACTTTATTGCCCTGGGAAGGATGCTCCTTTAAGGGAATACAGAATTGTTTCAAAAAGTGTGTGTATTGCACCTGTGTGTGTGACTGTCTGTAGAATGCTGTATTTTAGCATTACTAAGCCCTTGGGAAGGAGTATATCCAATGTGGCAGTTGTAACCAACCACAGATTTGAGGGAGAGAGGTTTTTTATTACTTCAGGTCAAAATGTTTTCAGCTATATTTTCAGTTGTATCTGCAACAGTAGAGATGCATGGGCATAAACAGACTTGGAGACGAGGTTTAAGCACTGAAAAGGAAACTTTAACATTCTGTAAAAATAATTTTTCAAGGCCAAGAAACAGTCACTTAGACCATATATACGCAGATTATTTTCACTTTGTCTTTTTTTGTTCTTTGAATAGAGAGAATCAAAAACATACACAATTGAACAAGACACAAATTAGTTTAAAAATATTGGAACTGTTTTCTCAAAGAAACATTAACAATGATACCTGTTGCACTGCATGTAAAGACCTATATTCATGACTGTGTTGGCATTGGGGAAACTTGAATAATAATAGAATCGTTGAATCATAGAATACTAGGATTGGAAGGGACCTCAAGAGGTCATTGAGTCCAGTCCCCTGCCCTCAGGGCAGGACCCAGTACAGTCTAGACCATCCCTGATAGACATTTATCTAACCTACTCTTAAATATCTCCAGAGATGGAGATTCCACAACCTCCCTGGGCAATTTATTCCAGTGTTTAACCACCCTGACAGTTAGGAATTTTTTTCCAATGTTAACCTCCCTGACAGTTAAGAACTTTTTCCTAATATCCAACCTAAACTCCCTTGCTGCAGTTTAAGCCCATTGCTTCTTGTTCTATCTTCAGAGGCCAGGAAGAACAATTTTTATTCTCCTCCTTGTGACACCTGTTGCACTGCATGCATCCTTTTAGATACCTGAAAACAACTATCATGTCCCCTCTCAGTCTTCTCTTTTCCAAACTAAACAAGCCAAATTCTTTCAGTCTTCCTTCATAGGTCATGTTCTCTAGACCTTTAATCATTCTTGTTGCTCTTCTCTGGACCCTCTCCAATTTCTCCACATCTTTCTTGAAATGTAGTGCCCAGAACTGGACACAATACTCCAACCGAGGCCTAATTGACAGCTATGATTAATTTTAAAAAAATATAACCGGAGGATAATGACTTAATGCAAGATCTGAAGTATAGGATCATTTAGTTCTTCCTAATTGCCCCAAACAGATTTATATTCCAATTATTTCTCTTAGCTAGTATCATTTTTCCCCACAGTTCCATAATGGGCAGTTCATTTAATCATTCAGATTAAGTTGGTGGGGTTTTTGTTTCTTAGAAATATCCTACTTACCACTAGCATAACTATCAAGGAAGTTTTTTTCTATTAAGCTTACATTTACTATGCCCATCTGACATAGCACAGATTGACTCAGGTAAGGGTATTTGTTTCCCAAAATGTACAAACATCTGCATATGCTATTCCAATGATTTCTTAATTAATGGCATGAGAGCAGAATATGAAATAGATTCGTGTGGCTGCCCATGCCTATGATGTTTTCTATTATTCATAACTTCAGCCTGCATGAGACACTCAGAAATACAGAAAAAAGCTCTTTCAGATCTTTAGAAAGAAGTGCAGAAGTAGAGAACTAAAAGTGATTTTTTTCATTTGGCCTTAGCCTTTCTCTGTTGCTCTTCCTAGACAGCACAGCCAATTCCATTTCCCATTCTCCTTGGAGGTCTGGAACGTGACATTCAGCAATGTACAGTAATATATTTCAGTGTGACATTTATGCTGACTATTTGGCCCTTTTGGCTGACAAGAAAAGAAGCACTGAAAAATATGATACCAGAATGGGCACCTGTGTTTGCAGATAAACACAATAAAACCCTAAAATCATAAAAGTGAGGAGAAAGGAAGCAGAAGAAAATATATGTACTTGGGAATGCCATCAGAAAGAGATCTGTACACCTGAAAGGAAGAACCCAGTGTTAATGGGTGACAATGAAAAAGGTGTCAGGAATACTCTAGGACCCTGTAATTTAGGAACAAACTAAAGGAAAATGTGTATGTTGAATGTGCTTGTCCCTGCCTGCTCTATGGTTTGGAAATGGTGGGCCTTACAAAGCTGGAAGAAAAGATATGGATAGGAGAAAATAATATACTGTACTGAGGAGAATGGCAGGCAAGAAAATGGTAGACACAGGGGGCGTGGCAGAAATAAGGGGGATGATGAGCTAGGGACTCCCAGTGAAAAGAAAGGAAGAAAAATAGTAGCAAAGAAAACAGAAGCAAGAAAGAAAGTGGAAAACCGAGGATACAAAGGAAAGACTTTGTCAAGAGCAGTTTGAAGCAAAAAGGACTGGGACTCTTTAGACCTAGAAACCTGTGACTGAAAGGAATGGTGAAGTGTCGTGCTTACCTCTAACCCCAAGTACATGGAAAAAGGAGTCAAGAAGCGAAGTGATTTATTAAAAGTACATCTTAAAATAGCCTACCTGTGGAGAATGCAGCCTAACACCTTATCTCTTCCATATAGGGAAGATGAAGGAATGAAGGTCCCATCTGGTCCTTGTTTATTACATTTGAAAGGCTACCAGAATGAAAATGCAATATGTGCTAACAACAATGGTAACCCAAG